TGCGTGGGACTGTGCAGGTGGTCACTACCTTCCCTTGAGGTTTCCACGCTATTGTAATTGACCTTGAAACCGTCTGTCGGTCTTTGCCTTCACCCAGGGAGATAAACATACTAACAGAATCACAGACTCATTCCTTCTAACCAGATCTCAGCCCACAAGAGTTAGTGAAGCAATCCCCTGCCACCCTGTGGACTTGTCCTCAAAACAAACTCCCTGCCACCCAGTCCGTTCGCACTCATAGGAGCAAGGCTAGAACTTAAAATAGATCTCTGAGTGATCCAGAAAAGAAAAAAGCAGCCTCCTCCTCCTACTGTCCGTCTTTCCACTTAGCACATAGGAAAGACCCAGTTTTCCTCATTTCAAAACGGATCGCCAACCTTTATGTTTTCTTTTGCTAGTCAAATTTCTGCCCTCTTTCGCCAGCTTATTTGCTCTCATGCTGACTTATAAGCATCGCTGGAAATGCCTGACATGCTGTTATTCTTTCCAGATATCCTCTGAGAGCCAGGCAAAGGACCTCAAGGCAGTAAGGAGGAATGAAGCTGGATTTGGTGCAGTGAACCAAGGCACTTCAAAGAGAGGTCTACTCCGTACCCAGAGCCTGGACTGTGGACCATCATCATGAGAACTTACCGCTACTTCTTGCTGCTTTTTTGGGTTGGTCAGCCCTACCCAACATTCTCTACTCCCTTATCTAAGAGGACTAGTGGTTTGCCGGCCAAGGAAAGGGCCCTGGAGCCCTCTGGAAACAGCAACAATGAGCTAAGCCGTTCGAAGAGGAGCTGGATGTGGAACCAGTTCTTTCTCCTAGAGGAATACACGGGATCTGATTATCAGTATGTGGGCAAGGTAGGATTCGTTTGGACGCTATGACATTGTGGTTTTAGAAGCCTGTAGAAGTAACTTCTAATAAATAGATGGGTAGGATGGGAATTATATGCTCCAGTACAGTAAGAATTGTTGCTTCTCGGGTAAGATTTTATATATATATATGTATACTTGTGTAGTTTCAGGAAGATGTAGCAAGAAACTGAGAAATGTTAGCGTGCAACAAAGAGAGAGAACGCGCTCCCGTGGAAAATGAAACGCCCACAACCATCCCCATAGGATTATCATAAATCCTTTAATTTTCACTTGAGCTTGAAAAAAAAAAGTGGTCCAACTATTCTATAAAGTGGAGTGTATTAAAAATAGAATTCGAGCGATTAGACAGCAAGGGAGGTAGCCTTTCTTTCTCTCCTTCTGAAAGCAAACCGCTCTGTCGTTCTTTGCCCGGGTGCAGAGTAACCATTTCTTTTCTTGACCCCGCTACTTCTCAGACTGTGTGGAGTCCTGGGCGCTCCGAATCCCACCCTCCCAGCTTAAATTTGGTGAATCAGTTAACAGGCATGATTCACACACACACACCGCAAAAAGAAAAATTCACTGCCGTTGGCTTGATTCTGACTCGTGGCGACCCTTTAGGGCAGAGTAGAACTGCCCCTGTGGGTTTCCAAGACGGCACCTCTATATGGCAGTGGAAAGCCTCATCTGGTTCCAACAAGCATGGGCCAGGCACTTCCAAATCTTAGGATTCCCCTGTGGCAGGGCTTGCTGAGGAGAAGACTGGTGATGTGCATTTCCAGGTAGCATCTGACCGCTTTATTGACTCTAGAAAGCAGAGTGGGGAGACATGCTTCTTTGTAGGCTCTGCTGATTTGGGGAGCAGAGTCAGGGAGGAGGAGCTGGGTTAGCTGGTCAATGGGAGCGTCACTGGCATTGTATCACCGGTTCCGTTCTGGTGGCAGTGAAGCTGCCCTACTGCCAGGATGCAGACGCAGCAGCATGGAAGTTGGGGCGGGGACTGGGGTGGGGGGGCAGTTTGCTTTTGAGGTTCTGGATTTCAAAATAGAGGGATGAGAGGGAAACTAATTATCACAACTCCCCTTGGCGGAACCAACTGAGAATGGGCATTGTGATATTATAGAGGACAATATACGATTTTATGATCACAGCTACAGTTTTTGACCATCTCTCTTAGGATGTCCTGTAAATAATATAAAATGTCCGATTCCAGGGGCTGGGCCCTCTCACTTCAGTGTCTG